GGCAAAATATACTGTGGATAGATGAAACCAAGATTGAGTTGTTTGGGAAGAACACACAACACTATGTGTGGAGAAAAAAAGGCACAGCACATCAACATCCAAACCTCATCCCCACTGTAAAACATGGCGGAGGGAGCATCATGGTTTGGGGCTGCTTTGCTGCGGATTATTGCCATTGATGGGAAAATGAATTCCAGAGTTTATCAAGACATTTTGCAGGAAAACGTACGACCATCTGTCTGCCAACTGAAGCTCCGCAGAGGATGGGTGATGCAACAGGACAATGACCCAAAGCATACAAGTAATTCAACAAAACAATGGCTGCAACAGCACAGAATACGCCTTCTGGAGTGGCCCAGTCAGAGTCCTGACCTCAACCCGATTGAAATGCTGTGGCATGACCTTAAGAGAGCGATTCACACCAGACATCCCAAGAATATTGCTACACTGAAACCGTTTTGTGAAGAGGAGTGGTCCAAAATTACTCCAGATTGTTGTGCAGGTCTGATCTGCAACTACAGGAAACGTTTGGTTGAGGTTATTGCTGCCAAAGGAGGGTCAACCAGTTATTAAGTCCAAAGGTTCACATACTTTTTCCTCCCTGCACTGTAAATGTTTACATGTTATGTGCAATGAAACCATGGCTGCATCTAATGTTTGTGTAGTATTATGTTCAGCAGACTGTGTTCTTCTATTGTTGTGACTTAGATGACGTTCAGAGCACATTTTATGCCCAATTCATGCAAAACTCCACGTAATCCCAAGGGGTTCACATACTTTTTCTTGCAACTGTATATGAATGCTCTAGGAGGAGAGATGGAAATATGGAGGGAATCCCTACAAGCTCATGTGGTACTCATACGTAAGGAAGGTAAAGATGATACTCATTGTTCAGATTATAGACCGATTTCCTTATTAAATACAGACACTAAACTATATGCACAAGTTCTGGCAAATAGGTTGAAAGACCTAATGCCGGAATAGGTACATACAGATCAAGTAGGGTTTGTCCCAGGGAGGGAGGGTAGAGACAATGGATTAAGATCACTGTTCCTTATACAGTAAAGTAGGAAAGAGAAAATTCCCACGTTGGCTCTCTTGATTGATGCTCAAAAAGCATTCGATAGAGTAAACTCGGGATATATGCTAGATACTTTGTAAGTTCTTGAATTGGGACCTAGAATGAGAGAATGGATAAGGAAATTATATAGTCAACCATCGGCAGCAATCATGGTTAATGGGGAATTATCAGAGGATATTGAGATGCAGAATGGAACAAGACAGGGATGCACTCTGTCTCCACTGTTATATGTTCTATCTCTGGAATCTCTTTTGGCTACCTTAAGGAATAATATAGATATAAAAGGAATTTGTATAGGAAAAATAGAGCATAAGGTGGCAGCTTATGCAGATGACATGCTGTTTTATGTGGGAAATCTAAGGATAACATTGCCTAACATAATGAAATCTTTAAAAGAATATGGTGAGTTGTCAAATTTAAAAATCAATTCAACTAAAACAGAGATCTTAAATATAAACCACCTAAATGGAGAGAAAAAAATGTTATAGGAGGAATTTCCCTTTGTCTGTAGAGAAAGAGAACTAAAATATTTTGGTATAAAATTAACTGTATCTTTAAAGAATTTATACAGATTAAACTATATTCCACTATTAAACGAGATTAAGGATGAAATGAAGAAACTAGGATGGGGATCTCAGTCATGGGTAGGATGGATAAACCTGATAAAAATGGTAATTGTTCCAAAAATTCTATACAAATTCCAAATGATACCAATTAAACTGCCAGAGGAGTATTTCAGAATAATTAAAAAAAATTCTAACAAGATTTATCTGGAGAAATAAGCCTAGAATAATTTACCAGACCTGAAAAGATACTATAATTCAGTAATATTGGCGAGAATTTATGACTGGACATACAATGCACAGGGGAAAAGTTGGGTAAAAATAGAAAATACACTAAGTTATATGAATTTAAGTAGAATTATTTGGTTACCTCCTCAATATGGGTTGACAGAGAGCACAAGTGTGTTTACACACAATGTTTTAAGAGTTTGGGATGTTTTACATAAAAGGGTGGGAATTTAATTCACTGTTAATGCCCCTAGGAGCCACAGAGTTTTTCACTCCTGGTAAAGAAAGTATCACAGGGAAGTGGTTAAAGAAGAAAGATGTACAATTAAGAGAGATCATTTTGGGAGAGTAAATATTCTTAGCGAACTGGAAAGTAAGAGGGAAATATTTTCGAGAATGGATGAAAGAGGATTGGAACCCTTTTGAGCACTTATTAGATACACAGGGTGATGGGAGGCACGGGATTTCAAAAGTATATAAGATTCTCACAGGATTAACTTCAGTTATAAGACCACTATTTATAGAGAAATGGGAAAGGGATTTAAGAGTAACAATTGATGAGAGAAAGCAAAAGAAAATGTATAGTTTAATTCACTCGAATGTAAATATGAAAGAGGTTGAAATGAGTTAAAAATGTTTGGCAAGATGGTATATTACACCTAATGTAGCACATAGAATAAGTGGGGACAATTCACCTTTATATGTTGGCGTGGGTGTGGAAAGAGAGGCACAATGTATCACTTATGGTGGGAGTGTCATAAAATTCAGTAATGTAATAAAAGATGTTATAGTGAGCGCGACTTAAATGCAAAAAGTGTATCAATGTGTATACACAAAAACGTTAGTGAGCAGCTGATACACCGAAAAGGTAACCAAGTAAAAACCTCCAAATCAAACATATATATTAAATAAATGGTGCAGCGCTAAATGCTAGAGCACAGTTTATACACACAATATATAAACATGCATGATATCACTCTGAGGGTGATCAATAAATACAAAAGTTCAGTGTAATAGTGCGGATCATGGAGAGATCCCAATTCAAGGTGAGTGGACGTCCTGATCCAAGGTGTGATGGTAGGTGTGATCACACAAATAGGTGAAAAACGCACTCACCAGATGTGCGTTTAATAAACGCAATAAGTAATCCTGCGTCACCAGGCCATAAAACGATCATCAGATCTCAGATCAGATTGTACCCCCCAGATCACCATCTCGGTTCCACAGAAGTGAAGTCATCTGAAACCGCTACCAGGTATCACCACCAGGGTCCTGAGTCCTCCAGATGGGCACTGCGAATGATAGCACTCACACAGAGTGCCCAATAAGAGACCTCATAGCGTGATACTGCTTTAGATGCTTTTATTCAGGGTTGGTTGGTGTGGGGTACATACAAAGATAAACCAAAAGTTTACTGACCATATGCATTCCTAGGTGGTTAGGTGTCCTGCTGCTGCTGCCCCCCTAATAAAATTCAGTAATACTGGGGGGATATAGTACGATTAATTCAGGAAATAACGGAGATCAGTATCCCAAAGGATCCCGGGACTTGTCTTCTCTATGGTACTGAGCTTTCGGTAAAAAAAATCTAAAAAAAACAGGGTTATTCTATTTTAATGCTGCGAAGGGCTTGATACCCAAGTTCTGGAGGAAACGACAAGCACCGAAAATAAAGGATTGGTTGGGCAGGGTAGAGAACACGTATAGACTGGAAGAACTTTACCATATAGATGAAGATAAAATTGAGGTTTTCCGTATAAGGTGGGAGAAGTGGGAAGGATTTAAAAAGTCAAATCTGTACCTAGAATATGTGTAACAGAGAGGGAGAGGAAATGAAGGGAGGGAAGAGAGAAGAGAGAAAAGGGGGGAAAAAAAAGGAAAAATGTATTATAGTAGTATTAATCTCTGAATAGGAAATATAGAACGAGTAGGAAAAGGCATAATCAAGGCTGAGGGGGGTGGGGTGGGGGAGTGGGGAGATATGGGATAGGGGGCTAGGTGGAGAGGGAGGGGAAAGGGGTAAAATGTTACCAAGATAAAAGTTGATATTTTGATATAATGTCAAATAAGAGTATCTTTTTTTTATTTATGTTTTATTAGCTTTTGTATACATAAAATGGTAATTTGAAAATTGATAAAATATTTAAATTTAAAAAAAAAAAAAAATAATTAAATGTCCCCGTTAAAATGCATCTGGAGCACAGATGCGAGTTTTCAGAGGGTGAATATTTATGCTGTTTTACAGTCAGAAATCCACACAAAATGGAGAATTTTTATATTCTTAAAACTGAAGTTTAGCAATAAAAAAAAAAAATTGTGTCCTATGGCTGCCGTCACATTACTTATCTGTAAAATAAGTACAGTATTTCCCTCATCTGTGATCCTGTAGAACAGGGGTGTCAAACTGGCGGCCCTCCAGCTGTTGCAAAGCTACAAGTCCCATCATGCCTCTGCCTTTGGGAGTCATGCTTAAAACTGTCAATCTTGCAATGTCTCATGGGACTTGTAGTTTTGCAACAGCTAGAGGGCCACCAGTGTGACACCTGTGCTGTAGAAGTTATCTGTGCAGTGATGACAGGTCCTCTTTCTGCTGCTGAACTTCTAGGGCTGAGGAATTTAATAATTCTGAGTCTGACATGCAGCAAAAAAGAACTGAGGGGGGCCCACCTCCTCCTCCTTCCTTCCTTCCATTGAGAAAAACCTGTGCAATGATTGCACTGCATGTAACACTATCTCTGTATGGGGGACAAAATCTTCTCCTTTAGACTCTTCCCCCATTCACAGACTGTTACCTGCAGCATAATCAATGCATGGGCTTTTCTCAATAGAGGAAGGAGTGGGTGGATTCACTGCAGGCACTTTTTTTGCTGCGGCTCAAAGTAGACCTAACGCTATTAACTCCCTCAGCACCAGACGGTTGACAGCAGGAAGAGGACCTGTCATCACTGCATAAAAAGTTTCTACAGGATCCAGCTGCCTGACAGACATGGAACATACATTATTATAAGTAAGTTATGTGGCTGTAGCTATAGGAGAAAAATTATTTATTTTTTTTAAATAAACTTAAATTTTAAGAGAATCTTAAATATACAATAAAAAAAAATTAAAGCCTTTGTTTTTATTTCCAGGTTATAGTAGAACAGTATGTACAGTCCCATCCCAATGGATTCCAGGTTATGTATAATAAACTTCTGGAGTTTGTTCCTCATCATTGTCGCCTACTGCGGGAGGTTACAGGTGGAGCCATTTCAAGGTAAATTAAGTGGATCTCTGGAAACAAATACATTGGTGTATTTGCATGAATCTTGAATTAATTGTGTTTATTTGTAGTCTGTGCAACAGTCATTTACTTTTTTTGCAATATTACAACTGATTTTACACTTCTGCAGAATGTTCTTGCTTTCTGTGCATATGCACAGAATTTTATGGCTTAGAATTTGCTTAGCTGACCTTTGTGGAAGCAGGAAAGGTACCTTTTGCGCTTGCGCAAACACATGCCCAAATATCCTGCCTCCTCCAGACGTTAATTACTGCAAGTCTATCCTTTTTGTGGGAAACCCGTTACCTCTAAGCCCACCGGACCTGCTTAGAAACTACCTTCACAACGAAGATTTGTACCATCCCTGGATGTGCGGGGGGATATCTAGTGACATTTTCTCCAGTTTAGAAAAGTCTTTTAAAGAGGTATACAAATGAGTGGATTTACTAAAGGCAAATTGACTGTGTACTGGAAATTGAAAGTGAGGTTGCAATCATTTTCCCCAGAGCTTAGTTAATGTGGTAAAACTTCACTTTGTAAAGAATACCCAATCAAGTGTAAAGAATTTTTTTAAAAACAGCATTTTGCTTGCATGTAATAGGATGATGCATATCAGCAGAGGATAAATGAGTGCAACTGCACTTGCAAAGTGCCCAGTCTATTTTTTCTTTAGTAAATCTACTCTAAACATTCTGCATTGCTGTCCTCTTACTGTTCTTTCTACTACTTGCTGCTTCACAAAATGTAAGCCATTTCCCTATACCTCCTTAAAGCTTTACAACCACAAGGAGGTGATCTTCTGCTCCCCTTTTAGGTTGAATTACAAGGATTTTTCAAATCCTACACTTGTCCATTTAGGGAGACAATACCCATCATGCCTTTAAAACATCTTTCCTAATTACTGCAGTAGCTAGGTTATTGCACAGTCTCCTGTAGACCTGTCACTATGCCTCTCATATGAACATTTTTTTTTTCTAGTGACGTCTACATGAGGAGGGTAGCTTCACTGCTTAGAGCTTAAATTACTCCTCATTGTCATAACACATTTCCTTGGCATACAACCCTTGGGCTCTACCCTGAGGTCTAATATATCCCCCCTTCCCTGGATATAGGTTGCTCATTATCAAGTTGCCCATTTTATGGGTTTGAAGCCATTTCTACTCTCTCAGAAACCTTGCCTTTTGTATTGATGTGTTTCCATTTGCCATCTTAGTAATGAAATAGATCACATTTTGTTCCTTCTGCACGTGCAGTCTGTAGGTTCCCTGGCACTTTCCTGCTACCCAAGATCTACTGCTCTATGGAATTGTGCCCAGAGATCTCCCTGCATCTCTAATGTACTGATATCTACCAGTTAGACACATTCCAATCTCTAGGTTTGGTGCCTCTTTCCGTGGGGCATGCAAATATTTCTGCTTCTCATCTAACTTTTCCTGTTTGGATTTGACAGACACGTAGTTCTTTGTATCCTGAAGGTATTGGTTTAGCTTTGTATGTTGTCTTCCCAACACCATGCATTTCACACTTCCCGTACACTCCTTTTGCCAGATGTTGCTCTTTGTCGCCCTTTGGGGCCTTCTGTATCCCTATGGAGCTTTATTCACGTGCTTTTACCCACACAACCCCCCCTTTGTGTTTTTAGGGGTTACCCATTAAAAAGATTTAAGATTGGGGCTTTCTTCTCTCCATTGTCCCTGGAAGCCGTAGTTCTGCCTTGGCTCCCCCAATTTTTTCTTGGAACACTTTTTCCCCTTTTGCTACATAGGCACAAAGTATCCTGGAAATCAGTCTTTCTTTTTTCTCCTGGTGCTCTTCCTACCATCTTTTGTGGGAGATTTATTCGCCTTTCCTAAGTCTTGACTGAAGGCATTTCAAACATTTTACACTTCCCTTTTATATATAGGGTCAGGATTGTCATCTATGGCTACCTGACCCCAAGGGGAGGTAGGAACATTTTTTTTTTTTCTCTCATAGGGTTGTCCCTCTATGCGTGCTTGGATTTCCTGGTTTGTTTGTTTTTTTTGTTTTTTTTTTTCTTCACCAGACCACTAGAGAGGGTGATTCTCTCAAGCAGGGACCCAGATTGTAACTAAAGAAAAAAATGTGGCTTTACATTCAGATGTTTTTCTGCAAGCGATTTACAGGCATTCTAAGAATATGTACCAGAAGGTTTGACATTGTACAAACCTTTCTCATATTAAATATTCTGTTTTGGTGTTTTATAGTGGAAAGGCTGATATGGTACCAGGATATGACTTCTTAGTCAATTCTGTCTGGCCCGAAATTGCACGTGGATTAGAGGAAAAGCTGCCATCGCTATTTAACCCAGGAAATCCTGACATATTCCATCAGGTAGTTTTACTTGATAACAACTATATGTGAATGATTTTAGTATATGTCATCTGTTTAGAGGGAAAAACTTTTTTCTTATTTTTGTGAGCAACATAAAGTACATTTAAAACAACCCTGTAACATGCAGAATTGATCCCTTATTTGTGGACCGTAATAAGAGGTAGCTGACACCACCATGTTATTCACATTAATAGTCATTAATAGTGAAAAAATAGGTGCACACTTAGAAAATAGCTGATTTGTTTCACTATATTTGAACAAGTAAACATTAGTTCTTCTTTCAAACAGCGCCTACAAATAAAGATGTACTGAAACATTTGGAAAATTGCCTTTTTCAATAATTTATTCAACAAAAATAGCAATAGATGTACTGTGAAAATTAAGTACTCCATTGGCCTTGAAATCTGATACTGCCCCTTTAGCAGAAATAGCTTCTTGTAGGCCTTTTGCCCAGAACACAATCTCATGTGAGGGGATTTGAAGCAAACAGTTCATGCAAGGAAACTTGCAAACATCTTGTAACTGAAGGAATTTTGCATACAGGAGTGGTCAAACTATTCACGTCACTCTCATAAACTGGTGATTCAATTCATGGCTTTGACTAGACATATCCATAACCCTCCATGTCCTTTGCTTGAGTGCTTTAGAACATTATTATGCTGAAAGAACCATTTCTGATTTAACTAACGTGATTTTGAACCTGAAAGCTTTAACCAGTTCCCGCCCGGCCAATAACAAAATGATGGCTCTGCAGGACTTTTGTTGGTCCGGATGGATGTCATATATCCACACAGCCGATGACCGATCTGTGTACCGGCCTGTTGCCAGTACCAATCACAAAAGGTCACATGACCATTGTAAACAATGGAGGTATCCTTTCATGCCATCCATTGTAGACAGTTGTGTTGCTAGCTGTGATTGGTCATGGTAATCACATCGTACAGACTGGGCCAGTCACAGCCCATCTGTGTCATGTGATTAGCTGTGGCTAATCGCAACAAAAAAACACTTAACACAGTTAAATGCTTGCCTAGGCAAACATAATTTTGTAAAAAAAAAATACTGATCATTTCCCCAGAGTAGTACAATATTACTATGGTAATATCATATTACTCTGGTCATTGAGTTTTATAAAAAAAAAAAAAGTAATAAAAAGAAAAAAAAATGTTTTTCTCACATGGTCACAACTCTGTGTCCCTGATCACCAGTTATATGATGACACTGCACTAGTGACACTGTGTAACAAAAAAAAAATGTAATGGATAGCTGTACTGTCCTGACATTTTTTGTGCCTAAAAAATGAGGCTGTCGTTACATCAGGATTGATTGATTTTTCAGATATGTATCATAGTTGGTGGCCTCTATAACTATCCTACAGACTATATAATATACACTAATTAATTTGGGTTCTTTTTTCCAAAAAAATGTAGCAGTATACATTTTTGCCTACATTTTATGAGACATTTATTTGCAAAATTATATAATAGAGACAAAAACTTGTTCTTCAAAATTTTCAGTCTTTTTTTCATTTATTTAACAAAAAATAAACCCAGTGGTGATTAAATACCACCAAAACAAAGTGTGAGCAAGATCATAAAATTTTGTATGGTAACAGTGTTGCATGACCATGCAATTCTCTTTCAAACTCTGAGAGCTCTAAAAGCTAAAATTGGCCTGGGCAGGAAGGGGGTAAAAGTGCCGGTATTGAAGGGGGGCAAACAAAGTTGTGAGGTACTAAACCATTCCAATTGCAATCGATATTGTATCTAGGAATCTTACTCTCTCAAAGTATATATGGTCACCCAGGACCTCAAGGATACTTAAATATCCCCATTAAGGAATCTCTAGAAAAATTCTAAAAGCTTAACTCCAAGTTTGATGTCCCTTTTTAAATAGTTTGTGGGCCAAGCTGACCCAAACAAACGTTTTACTGCAAGAACAGGTGCGCTTACTGGGCATGCTGCATTAATTGTATGTAGAGTCAGTTACCTGTTGGCTGAGGCGGACGGTTGATGTCACAATTTTGACTTGGCCAATCAGAAGAAGCTTTGTATTCAGTCATCAAATACAAAGCTTCCTGTGAATGGCAGCGATCACACAACTCTGCTGGATCACAGCGCTGTATACTGAGGCTGAGTTAATTCAGCATGCCAAGCAAGCACATCTGATAATGCAGTGAACTTCTATAGTTCGGAAGATACTTATCAGCTTAAAGTGGTTGTAAAGGCAGAAGGTTTTTTTACCTTCATGCAAGTTTGAAATGCCTTCATGCATGAAAGTAAAAGCCTTTGGTGGTGATCCCCCTCTTGATCCAGCGAGGTGCACAGGAGCCTCGGCAGCCAATGAGCCAATAAATAGAGAGCGGGAACAACTATGTATCTTATGGATGCTAGAGTGGGGCTCAGAAGTGATCAAGGTGTAGAAGCCAGGTGGGGAATATGAGAAGAGGATTGAGGCTACAAAACCATTTCAGAGCTGGTAAGTAAGGCATGTTATTTAACCGCTTCCCACCCAGCCACTGCACATAAACGGCCAGGTGGGAGCTTCGCGCAGCTGCACGCTCTCGGTGTGCCTGTGTCCCTTGGACACTGTGCAACACCGCTCGACAGAAGGGCACTCTGATTGGCCCTTCTGATCACATGATGGGAGTGTCCATACACAGCTGTCATGTGATGTCAACAAAGCTGCCATTCAGTGGAACGGCTCTGCCTCTCCTCACATAGAGCCTGTGAGTGAGGAGAAGCAGAGCCGATCAGCGAGTACACACAAGCACACCGCCCACACATCACCCTGTCACTGGTACTGTGACCGATCTGGATCACTGGTATCCACATCTGGATCATTATGTGATCCACATCTGTCACAGTACCAGTGATCCACATCTGTCCCAGTGTCAGTGAGCCACGTCTGTGCCAGTGCCCGTGAGCCCCATCTGTGATCCCCAGCTGTCACAGTGCCCGTGAGCCCCATCTGTGATCCCCAACTGTCAGTGCCCGTGATCCCCATCTGTCACAGTGCCCGTGATGCATATCTGTGATCCACACCTGTCACACAGTGCCCGTGATGCATATCTGTGATCCACACCTGTCACACAGTGCCCGTGATGCATATCTGTGATCCACACCTGTCACACAGTGCCCGTGATGCATATCTGTGATCCACACCTGTCACACAGTGCCCGTGATGCATATCTGTGATCCACACCTGTCACACAGTGCCCGTGATGCATATCTGTGATCCACACCTGTCACACAGTGCCCGTGATGCATATCTGTGATCCACACCTGTCACACAGTGCCCGTGATGCATATCTGTGATCCACACCTGTCACACAGTGCCCGTGATGCATATCTGTGATCCACACCACACCTGTCACACAGTGCCCGTGATGCATATCTGTGATCCACACCTGTCACACAGTGCCCGTGATGCATATCTGTGATCCACACCTGTCACACAGTGCCCGTGATGCATATCTGTGATCCACACCTGTCACACAGTGCCCGTGATGCATATCTGTGATCCACACCTGTCACACAGTGCCCGTGATGCATATCTGTGATCCACACCTGTCACACAGTGCCCGTGATGCATATCTGTGATCCACACCTGTCACACAGTGCCCGTGATGCATATCTGTGATCCACACCTGTCACACAGTGCCCGTGATGCATATCTGTGATCCACACCTGTCACACAGTGCCCGTGATGCATATCTGTGATCCACACCTGTCACACAGTGCCCCGTGATCCATATCTGTGATCCACACCTGTCACACACTGCCCGTGATCCACACTTGTCACACAGTACCAGTGGTCATCCACATCTGTACCAGTGATCCACATCTGTAACGGTGTACCGGTGTAAAATTCACATCTACACCAATGATCCACATCTGTCAGTGTATCAGTGCTCATCCACTTCTGTACCAGTGATCAACATCTGTCACAGCCTACCAGTGCTCATCCACTTCTGTACCAGTGATCAACATCTGTCACAGCCTACCAGTGCTCATCCACTTCTGACCAGTGATCAACATCTGTCACAGCCTACCAGTGCTCAATATATGTCAGTGTACCCGTGTCAAATCAACATCTGTACCAGTGATAAACATCTGTACTAGTGAACATCAAAATGTCAAAAAATTATACACCAGCGAGGAGGCTTTCCAGATACTATGGCGGACGAGAGTAGCGGGGAACTCTGTCAGACTCAGATTTTGAGTATGAGCCAATTGAAAGCAGTGGGTCAGCAACAAATTCTGAGGAGGAGAGAGTCCAAACAAAGAGCTTCAGAAGATCTGAGGAGGAGCAAGCACCCACCAGTAGCGCAGTGGCGAGTACAAACAGCGCAAGACTCCCAGAATATAGGCAGGCATCCAAGGGTAATTCCATTGTCCTGGTGCTCCAGGGCCTTCAAAACTGTGATAGGTAGTCAGGAAATGAGATGTCATTTATGCCCGCAGAACGCCTGCAGGTCCTACTTGGATGTTGGGTCTCTATGTGGCCAGGCTGTGGAAAAGTCTTACACATGTGGTATCCCCATACTCAGGAGGAGTAGCAGAATGTATTTTGGGGTGTAATTGTTGGTATGTACATGCTATGTGTTAGAAATATCTTACAAATGGTTAACTTTGTGTAAAAAAAAAAAAAAAAAAACTTTTTTCATTTTTTTTCACATTTTCTGAAAACTTGTGGAAAAAATGACATGTTCAAAAGACTCATTATGCCTCATAGAATATACATTGGGGTGTTTTCTTTCCAAAATGGGGTAATTTTATGGGTAATTCCATTGTCCTGGTGCTCCAGGGCCTTCAAAATTGTGATGGGTAGTCAGGAAATGAGATGTGTAATTTATGCCTCCAGAACGCCTGTAGGTGCTACTTGGATGTTGGGCCTCAGTATGTGGCCAGGCTGTGGAAAAGTCTTACACATGTGGTATCCCCATACTCAGGAGGAGCAGCAGAATGTATTTTGGGGGGAAGCTGCAAGTATGCATA